AAAAAAAAAAAAAAGACAATTGCCAAGGCTTAATGAAGTCTGTAAAACGATAACTCAGATCAAAATGCACATAATACTGCAGGCTGTCCCACTGAGGAATCATTCTAATATGCAAACTGAACACAGTGTTTCTTGGCCAAACCAAATTACCATGCTTACAAATCTAATATACTATTGCGCAAGTTAAAACTTGTTTTGGTTGACGTAACGTCTTCTCTAAATCAGTACATTACCAACGTTTTAGCCAGCATTTGGCAAAGGAAATACACGAAAAGTAAAATCATGCTGGAGAGAGGATAAGTGAACCATAAGCCTCATGATGGGACGCCTTTAAACTCGCGTTATTTATAAGACAAACACAGCGAGACAACCGTCAACAATTTCAAGTGAAGAAACATTTTCTCCGTTTTGAACAACAACGACTGACATGTGTTTGGTGGTGGATTTGACGGGTTCATACTCACCAAAATAAGGGACATAAGTGAACCTTCAGTCTTAACTGTCCCCATTAAATGTTTCCGTGTATTGAACATGAGCCTCTTCACATCCGCTTGTCACATGTTTAATAAACGTCTGTTCCAACTGTTGCCTTTTTCGTTTTAATTTCTCCAGTTCCTCCATTAGCCTAGAATTTTCCATACACAGCTCTTCGACTGTCGTCTCCAACCTTGATTCACGTATAAGCTTCTTTTGACGACATTTCCACGCTGCCAAGCGATTCTTTCGCCGTTTTCTTTCCGTTTTGATGAACCCTTGCACGTCGATGCTTTCGGGCATAATGGCTGACTGTGCCTGTTCCTCCAATGTGTCTACTTCTTGCTTTAAGACAGACATGTTATAAAGTTTTGTGTGAACGGTTAGCCAGTGCTTTGGTGTTGGGGTGTCTTGAATTGTGTGGTGACGGTCATGGTTCCACTCACCGTCCATTTCAAAATCGTCATCCCCATGCACTCCGTCCTGAAACTCCATGTCTTCTGGAACCCTGTTATCACTTTCGAAATCTCCGTAGTGATAATCTTGAGTCGTAAAATCAGAAGAAGGGCTTAGAAGTGATGGAGAATTGGTAGAATAATCATCGGAATCTTCTCCGGGTGAATTTAACAAGCAGTCTTTGTAGGAACACTGCTGCTGCCCAGAGAATCCTTCTTCCAACGTTTCCACTTTAAACCACTCTGAGATCTCCGATCCTTCGAGTTGCTGTCCACATTCCCGCTCGTAAGAAGTCCTATCTATGTCTTGGGTTGTTTTGGTTTTAATCATACCAGTAAATTTAGCAGGTGAAAACGTTTCTTGAAAAGAGGGTAAGCGATACGATGAATCAAATCTGTAAGAAATAAAAGTGCATTTTGAGTCGTCAACCAATTCGTCCGCCGTCGGCGTCTCTATTGTGCGTAGTTGACAAACTTCCCTTTCTTCTCGCAGTCGTTGCAGTGCGTCAGTAAACCCCCTAGCAAACACCTCTTGTTCTGCTGTGACTTGCTGTGTCGTATAATCTTCTTGCGGGACAAAAAGTGGCGGAGGCGAAGACACTGACTGTGGTTTCACCGTACAATTATCGGGGAAGTTTCTCCACACGATCGTCTCGAGATCTGGCGATGAAATTCCAATATCTGGAGATCTCAGCAAATCTGAAATATCGAATTCGTCTCTCCTTCCCGTCGATTTGTACTCATTCGCCAAGTTTAACCATAATTTTCCATTGTCTTGTGCGTAGGAATTTCTATTTGCTAATAAGAAGCTTTGATCCTCATAAATGGTGGCCTCCATTTTAGAGTGGTACATAAAAAATTCTAACCCACAGAGCTTGCTGTCAAGGCTGCCTTTCAAGGTTGCCGTAATCTTTGAACCAGTTTCAGTAATCCTGCTAAATTCCTGAGGTTTCTATTCAAGGCACGTGGAATTCAATTGTTCCACGGACATCAATGGGAGATGCGTGGCACAAGTCCTGGTAATCCTTTGTCGTAGACAATTGATTCAGCAAGTTCCCTGCAATGTGATTGGTGTATTTCTACTGTGACTGGTAACCTATTATGTCTCGCCCCAATACAGCGGCGTGTCCCTTTTTTCTTGTTAGTTTACGAATGTTCCAAATGACCTCCGAGTCAAGGGTTTTATTACTTTAACCGTAATTATTTAGTTGGTCAGTTCGAGGAACGGCTTTGCTTGTTTCTCGCACTCAAAAAAAGAGGCGTTGTGGTTAGCCTCAAGCACTATTTCCGTTGATCTTGTTTTGCACGTTTTAAGTGGTTCATGATTCCTTTTTCCGTATAGGAACTTGTCTTAGGTCCCAGATTGGCGCTTAATATCCATTTGGACCTGAGAAACTAAATCTTCTCGCGGTTTTCTTCCATTTTAACGTACCAGGAAACCACCTTTTTGGCGACAGCAGTAAATATATGAACTTTACAACCTGTCGCGTCTCATTTTAAAACAAAGAAGCGAATAAAACAAAATTATCATTGAACAACAAAGCTTTCGGTGCAACATTGAAGAAATTTGCGATTTTTTTTTTTTCGGAAGTTGCGAATTTGACATTTTATGATGACCAATACACGAACGAAACTTCAATTTACAAAAACATTCAAGTTAAAAAGAATGACACATTTATATATCACAGAAAACAGAGCGCTTTAAACAACTCAATTTTTGAAGAGATTCTTATGACAGACAACAGAATTATCTTACTGTAGTTACAAAAATAGGCAACTGAAAATCGCATCATATCTTTGGGAGCGTTAAATCGTGAATCCTGGAGAGCTTTGCGCCTTGAACCATAGCTGAGGACAGGCAAGCGACCTAATTACCTAAGTTTACCACATCATGATTGAAGAGCGAAGACTCGGAATCCAAATTTTTACTATGTGAAAACAGGCATCTTGCCTACAGTTGTAGAAATTTATAAGGTCACCTTGGAATTTATGACTTGGATCAAACAAAGATTACTCCAAATGTGAGATTGCGCGATCTCCAAAAACTGAAACAAAACAAAATTAACCAGCAGTTAACCCGGCCTGACAAAAAGAAGCAAAAACCAGTTGATTATTTGCCACATGGGTGGACGGGTTATGCCATCAGTTAAGTCAAGTCATTTGTTACAATGTCCAAGATTAAAATACCCAATATTAAAAACACAATTCCAGTTCTAAATATTATTTAAGAGGTCAGAACAGTACGATGTGAAAAAATAAAGAAAATTTAAATACATCAAAAAACGCACACCTTAAAATTGAGATTGCTGCACTCAGAAAGATGGTTTTGTAGGAAGAAATTAAAGAAGTTGAGCGATTCGCTCACTAAGTCAAACCCTCCCTTAATTAACCTTAGCTAATAGCCCTTAGCAAGCGTTAAGTTCCGATATTGTAATGCAATTTACGCTCTGTCAGATGCAATTTTGATGTCACAATTCTGGTAAACTGTATTGAATGATAATATAGCTCTTTCAATTATGACAAAGATTATATTATATGGGATTGGTTGAACGATGTCAGCTAGATCACCTGGCGCAAAACGTTTCCTTTCAATAAAAGACAGATTCCGGCTAACAGAAAATTTACGAAGAGCTCCCTTCTCGCCATCTGTATTTTCTAAAGTGCTCGCTGCTCGCAAGACAAATTTGATCACTGCTCGTGCTCGCAAAAATAAACGCACTGCTCGCATGTTCGCAAACGCTCGCAAAGACCATTCGATACCCCTTTTTCGGCCAAGCCCTATTACACAAGAGCCGTATTTCGCGTTATGCTCCGTAATTCTTCGTTAACAAGATGCTATTGCAGATTATTAACCACGTCATTTTTTTTGCCTAGTTTCCCTGATAATTTTTATCGCCATTTCTGCGATGGAAAGAGTTACTATGGGAGTCAGTTTAATGATCGCGGTGGACTGGGCCAAACTCGAAACCAGTGGCCCGTTTCTCGAAAACCCCGGAAACTTTTCGGGTCCGCAAAGCCATTTTAGGTTAATCTGTATTTGAAAACAGAGAGGTGTATACACCTGAAACGTTTTTTATGAAGGAAACTTCTGTTCATATCAAGAATATGGGAATAAAACATCTCTGCAATCATAAGGTTTGAGATTTTGCTATGGATTTCCGGGTGGGAAAAGACAAAAAACTTTTCGGGACCTTCTCGAAACGGGCCCTAGGTTTCTAGACCAACAGCCGGTGTTTTTCCACAGTTTGGGTCTCTAAGATAGAAATCTTCCCACGCGCGAAGAATATGGCCAAGCGCGTACGCACCCGGATAGAAGTGGATGTAAGTCACCTTGGAAAACCAGGAAAACTGTTCCAAAAAGCTGGGTAAGCTTTCACACGTATTCTCAGAGAGATCATGTAACTCGACTTGGAAGGACTCGATTCCTTGCAAACCAGGGCTTTCATGGAAATAACTTAACACATTCTTAGTGCGCCCTATTTTTGAATGATCGCCATTCTTTCCCGCAGCGTTTCAAGGTCATCGGTTTGAAAGAACTAACCAGCTGCCAGTCTTCACATGTCAGAAAAGACACGAGAAAAGAATAGATCCGAGAAACTATAGCCAGTAAGATATGATAATTATTTAGAAATGATCCGTATGACAGGTTGCCCTGAAAGCCGTCTTACAATTATGATAACGCCACAGAATCGCTGACTGGCTCTAGCTGTTTTACATTTTTAGTCGCAATATGAATGATTTTCGTTTTTTTTTTTATTTTTTTTATTTTTCTCTCTGGCGCGTTTATATTCGAAGGTAACACGAAAAATGTTTTGGATTGTCCGAATGATACTTTAAACTATTTCAGCCCTATAATATGCGAGGTTACAGCGAGAATTTGGTACCTGACATTAACAGCATTTTTAAGTCAGGGCCGGTGGAACGCTAAAAAACGCCACACAGCTACCAAGGGGTATGGATATGTTAAAATGGAGGTTTATAGAGGATATTACAGTAGACAACTCGAAAACTTCGGATATGCCTGACCACTGCCAAGTTTCACTGCCACGCGAACTTCAAAATCAAAACTCT